CCTTTTTTTTTTAATATATATCCTGCGCGCGTTTCTCTCCGACGCAGACTATGATTCCATCATCTCTCTCTCTCTTGGGTCCGGCGCGTCGAGAAAAGCTGTTTACACAGCACAGTCTATATGTATTATATGCGAGCGCATATTACAGGCAGCAGCAGCGAATATCGCGTCGCTCTGTGTGTATGTGGCCTTATACACACGCGAGAGACTTGAAATAACAGTTTCTCATTCCCTGTCGGCCGCCGCCACCGAACGACCGACCGACCGACGCTATACACACGCAACGGTGTGTACTACGAATGCGAGCTTCTGCACGTCCGTGAGATATAGAGAAAGAAAGAAAGAAATCCTCTCTTTTTTTTGTTAGACAAACAGTCCCGACGAGGCACGTATTATATCAAAGTGTAAATTTTTCAAAAATCGTACAACTGTGGATTTCCGATGTAATTCTGATCGATGTAGCTACTTGAAGCAAAAAAAAAAGTATTCATTCGTCTTGGCGATTTTCTGAAACTCGTAATCGCTCGCAAGCTCAATCGCAGCTAAAGGGTTCGCAAGTGCAACGAACATCTCACAAATGTATGAAGGAAACAAGACTCCAAATACCAAGAGTAAATATAGTACAGTGCATAATAAGGGCAAGGTCGGACGAGCAGATGACGAGATGATTCGTCTTGTACACAGCCGCAGCAAGTGCTCGTAATATAGTAGTCGTGCGTGAAAGCTTATATTATATACGCGTGGTATAAAAAGCCCCCGCGAACGAGCCAGAGAGAGAGGTAAATCGAGCGGTCACTTGATTCCACGTCGCGTGTGCTTTTCTCAAGAGGAAAGTGTAGCACGTGAAAGTGTACTCTCTCTCTCTCTCTCTCTCTCTTTCAGAACTCGGTGGCCGCAACGATGTGATTCACTTCACGAATGCACTTCATTATGCAGTCTTTTGTCCTCGCCGGAGCTCTCTCGCAGAGAGCCGCGCGCGCGCGCATGGAAGCTGCCGCTGCTTCTCTAGGCTTCGTGTTTTTGTATCATATATAGACGTGCATGATTTTTTTTTTCATGCTCATAAAAACCAACGCTGTTGCGCGCGAATATAATGAATACATATCTATATAAGTATATATTTTATAAACAGCGCAAAGTAATAGCACTTTCACCGCGCAAGGAAGAGAAGTTGACTGCTACTGCCTGTACTGCATGGCTGCTTGATGTTTGTATAATAGATATTATTCGAGTGTCCTCGTCTGAAGTAGACACCTTATGTGTGTGTGTGTGTGTGTCTGTAGGTGTGTGCGCGAGCCTGTGCTCGACTCTCTGTCTATACATACAGTTGTGGGTGTGTGTGTGTGCGTACGCAAGAAAGTGCGCGACGTTTAGTTACACATTTTATGTATCCTTTCATTATTTTTCAATTGTTGAGCGTTGCTGTACTGCAAAATACAATTAACGCATTGTTTGCGATTGCGATTCTCGCGACCCGAGCGACAATGAACTCTCTCGGATTTGTGGATTTGGCTTTTTACCGCTAACTATGAGCGACCCTCAACGAATCAAACGTCCGTATAGTCGTACTCGAGTACACAACAACGCGGATATATTTTTTGCTCTTTATCTCGAACTCAACTATAGTTACGATCTCGCTTCTGAGCAGTCGCAAATTAGAGGAGGGCAGCTCAGAGGACTGTACAAATTTTTTACACTCGCGATTCGTCGAAAAAAGATAATAAAAAAAACTTGGAGATCCTTGCCACACGTTTCAACTCTCATATAATAGCGACACGCACTTACTCTTTACGCGTTGTACACTCCTTTGCTCGCGAGCTGTTGATCGTAATTTTTGATAATCTTCCTCCGTAAATGGCAGTGTAGTGTATGCGCGACCACATTTGCTCCGACCGAGCAGTTCTCATGTACGTGAAAAATTAAAAGCTTCTGGTGGCTGAGTGTCTCTGCAGCAAGCAAAGGACACTTCTGTAGTGCTCCTTGCTGCACGAATTGAATAAGGATCTTAGCAGCTACAGTGATTTGATTGTGTTATAAGTACATAATACCGACCTGCTGCTGTTGCTAATGTCGCTTAACGGATTTTAACCGTCTAATTTTTCACTCCAATATTTTTTTTTCTTCAAAATCGTGTCGCGTAAAAGGATGACGTCAAGGAATTTAAAATTGAAAATTTGGATCAATGCTTCATGTGCATGCGCGGATATTACACGTACCATTGTTGTGTGATATCGTTATACACAGACACGCGGCGTACTATATTAAAAATTTCTCGAGTGGCGTGTAAACTGATTAACTCCTTCAAAGGATGTGCCAGCAAGAGTTTTTTCAATTTTTTCACGCGTTAAATCCTTCATATCTCCCTCTCACTCTAGCTTTCTCTCTCTTGAGATCTCGGATTAAGTAGGTCTCTATACAGTGCCTAAAGTACCCGAGTCGTGCGGCACATTCATACACACACACAAGCGCGCATATCGATAATAGGCGCGGGGCGTGAAGCGCATCGAAATTTCCTTTTGTAGGCTTTACGCCCATGGGCAAATCCGCTGAGCGATGGCGCGCGCGCGTGAAGTGGAAGTAATCCGTGTCTATATATGCGGTACGCGCACGACGGCCGCCGCATTATATAGGAAAGATTATAACGCGGCTTTGCTCGTCGCGCGTGGCAGGATCCACACACGAGCACACAGACACACGTATACATATAAACGTCCTGTCATAAGCAGATGTACATAATAACCCATCGTTGCAGCGTCCTACTCGCATTACAGCACGCGTATGATTCGGCGGTGGCTGTGCGGCTCCCTGATTGTTTATCCAGCGCATCGAGTCCGTTCAATTGCCGTTAAAACGCTTTTGGCACGCAATTATAAACTCTCGACATTGCTAAAAGGGCCAGTAGATAAGGGAGCTGGAAAAAAGGAGGTTGTCTCGCGAAAACTACAAATTTGTCAAAAAAAACACGAGTTTTTATAAGTGGGTCAAAATAATACTTTTTTACAAAACCGTGCGCACGTATGTCACCGATCTTGACGCGCTTTTGGTATGTTATAGTACATGGTAAAAAGGTCCCAAAAACAAAATTTTAGACCCCCTCCCCCCTCCTACCCCCCACTTCCGGTATAAACGTCCATTTTCGATCTATATTTTTTCTGAGGACATGAAGTAATTAAAAAATCTGAAAAAATTCATAAAAATACTTTTCAACAATCCAAACAACCTTGAATTTTTTCAGATTTTTTGAGAGCTTCAGGCCATCAGAAAAAATTATTGAAAATTTCAAAAATCGAGATACGGCGGTATGAGCCGATGTAGTACTCGGAAATTTTTTCAGTTATTTTTCGCATTAAAAAACATAACCTCAATTTTTTTCAAATTTTTTCAGATGACCTAACGCACCTTTTGAAGCCAAAAACCGATTTTTTTGACGAAACTAATTTTTTTAGGACAGTACGGAGCCTCGAAAAATCTGAAAAAAATTTTTTCTTGTTTTTTTCATCAAAATACGTAATCTCAAATTTTTTCAGATTTTTTAATTGAAGGCGATAGCTTCTAGGGCCGAAAAATGCTATTTTTAACAAAAAATGGTTCCTAGAACCCGATGGTTCCGGTGAAAAAATTTGAAAATATTTTTTTTGAATTCCTTGTCAAATTTTAATAAATTTTGACCGTTTCAAAAGTTCGATTGAAGCTTCCTAGCTCATTTTAGAGCATCAAACGAGTTTTATCATTCCTTAATGTCTTCAGAAACGTCTTCAGATATTTTGCACTAATCTTTGTCCTGCTCTAAAATGAGCTAGGAAGCTTCAATCGAACTTTTGAAACGGTCAAAATTTATTAAAATTTGACAAGGAATTCAAAAAAAATATTTTCAAATTTTTTCACCGGAACCATCGGGTTCTAGGAACCATTTTTTGTTAAAAATAGCATTTTTCGGCCCTAGAAGCTATCGCCTTCAATTAAAAAATCTGAAAAAATTTGAGATTACGTATTTTGATGAAAAAAACAAGAAAAAATTTTTTTCAGATTTTTCGAGGCTCCGTACTGTCCTAAAAAAATTATTTTCGTCAAAAAAATCGGTTTTTGGCTTCAAAAGGTGCGTTAGGTAATCTGAAAAAATCTGAAAAAAATTGAGGTTATGTTTTTTAATGCGAAAAATAACTGAAAAAATTTCCGAGTACTACATCGGCTCATACCGCCGTATCTCGATTTTTGAAATTTTCAATGATTTTATCTGAAGGCCTGAAGCACTCAAAAAATCTGAAAAAATTCAAGGTTGTTTGGATTGTGGAAAAGTATTTTTATGAATTTTTTCAGATTTTTTACTTGCTTCATGTCCTCAGAAAAAATATAGATCGAAAATGGACGTTTATACCGGAAGTGGGGGGTAGGAGGGGGGAGGGGGTCTAAAATTTTGTTTTTGGGACCTTTTTACCATGTACTATAACATACCAAAAGCACGTCAAGATCGGTGACATACGTGCGCACGGTTTTGTAAAAAAGTATTATTTTGACCCATGTATATAAGGCGCGTTTGTGTGCCAATGTTTTCTCTGATAACTTTGCTACTGTTTGGAGAGAGCTTGAGAGAGGAAAGAGAGAGAGAGAGAGAGAGAGAGAGAGAGAGAGAGAAATCAGAAACAGATCGTCACTGAGAGAAACTCGACGAGTGTGCACGATGTATTCTCTCAAATTAACCCTACCATTCGTCCCTAGTAGGAATTTTCATCATTAATAAAGGCTTGATGCTCAAAAAATAAACATTTAAAATGTCTCAATATTATTATTAAATTACAAGACGATTTAACTTCAAAAAATTTACACCCAGTATTCAACCACTTTCATAACAATAAAACTATTTTAATCCTACACCGCTAGATGGCGAATACCTTTATCTAGAAATCTGCAAGTGGAAAGGTCAAAATAAATTTATAAAACTATACGTATCGAGTAAATGTATTTTATATTAATGGATGATGATGTTTGATGGTTTGTTGCAGGTGAAAATTTGGTTCCAAAATCACCGGTACAAATGTAAAAGGCAAGCCAAGGAAAAAGCAATGGCAGAGCAAAACGCACAAAATCAGGTGAGCGCTAATTTAACACATCTATACATTAATGGCCTATAAACAATTCGTTACCGAATTCGATTCCCGCGCTGAATTTATGGATTTATTATTCGAGTACGTGCGCATGCACATGCACAGCAGTAAGGTACATATAGAGAACGAGACATTTTTGCCGTCTCTCGCTCGCGGAAAAGAGAGAGAGAGACGTGTCATGTCTCATAATCTTGACTATACACAGGTACACGTTGCTTCTCGGGCATGTATACGTAATATATAAACTTTACATATACACGTAGGGAGAGACGAACGAGAGCAGCAACAGTAGCAGCAGCGGGGCACGAAACGGGCAAAAAAAGTGCAAATGCCGCATAAAAAAACCGACGTTGCCGATCGTCGCGATAATGTGTTGACCCGGGACGAGGCCACAGCGCTACATATGACGCTACGAGGACTAGAGCATATATACCTAACGTCGAGGAATACAAGTTGCATAAAGACACGCGCTCCCGTCTATATATAGAATATTTACTATATAAGCACACGTATAATAGAGACGAGCATAGCCCTTTACACACGCAGTCATATACTAATATATCTCCAGTCGAGCGCACCCCCGAGCAAAATCTCAAGAGCACAAAAGGTAATAATCCATTCCCATGTGTAATGATCGACGCGCGTTGCAGTGAGTGTCTTCTTTTATCTTAATATTTTTACATTACCATTTTTCCTTCGCATCATCCTTCCGTACCGTCGTAATTATCAAATTTGCCGCACACGTATCGCTGACTAAATTGTATCGAGGAAATATTGCCGTACACCCGGGTCGACATAATTGCACCGTGAATGCGTATAATGCGTGCGCGCAGGACATGTCCGGGAGTCGGTCCATTATAAAAAAATTCCAGAACGTGCCCGTTCGCGCGCATGATCGACGACAATGCTCGTCCTATTGGAGTACGAGCTGCGGCTCGATGCGTACACTAAACGCGCGAAGATAAGCATCGACACGGCTGCTGCCGTCGTCGTCGTAGCCGCCGCCGCCCTTGACAATGCACGAGTATAGCAAAAGAAAAAAAGAAAATCATTGAAAAGCTATGGTACTGTCGCGTGCTAGTATATAATGCGCATGCCTAAAGATGTATCATCTTCGACGATCTTTCCCTCTGCAGTCATCGTTCCGTTTTTCGGCATAATGTATAATGGAGATGAGTATAGTGTATAGCTCGACTCGATGTTATTACCGTGCACGTAATAATGTACGTATAATCGAGGTGCACGCACCGACCGATTGTGTCGTGCGGCCAAACATCGAGCTCGCTAAACGGGAATTAAATGGAGCTGAAAATAATCTCTCCGGTTGATCTCTCTTTTGCGCGAGTGTATATATACAGAAGAGCGGGCTTATGCACTGAGAGAGAGAAGTTGAGTCGTCGCCGATCGCCTCTCGATTTGAATCAAACGTTGCCTTCCTTGCTGTTGCTGTTTCCCCTTGTTGCGCCACTCTATGTGTGTGTGTGTGTGTAAGCGTGTGTGTGTATACAAAGCAGGCACCCCATAATTCACTCGTTAGTTTACTTTTGCGTGATGTTGCTGCTGCTGCTATTGCTCCCACCTCGCAGCCAGTCAAACTCTCGCCCTTTACTATATTATACGGTTATAACGTGGAGCAAACGCAAACTTTTACCCCTGCACAGACGTGAGCGCGCGCGAGATTCGTAGATGTGTTGAAAATTTCGAGGGTGCGAGATGGGTGCAAAATACAGAGAGAGAGAGAGAGAGAGAGAAAGCGAAAGATAAAGAGATAGAGAGAGAGAAAAAAATAGAGCGATCAAATAAAGTTATTGTGCTGCAGAGAGGAAGCAATGAATTGATGAGGACTTTTTGCCTCGATCGCTCGCTCACTGCGGATATAAACACACGCGACCAAAGTTTTCTTATTACTTCCGATACGGGCTAATATTTGTATCTCTCTCTTCTCGTGGCTATTATTATCACATTTATGAATTTGCTCAAAGTGAAAGCGCGTGTCGCGTATCTCGCAATCGTCTCGCATATGAGAATGTACGAGAAGGTTGCTGTATCGTATAGTGATGCAGTAATTACAATGTGTTCGTCCCCAAAGCCAATCTCGTGCGGTTTTCGACGGACTATGCGCAGTGGGATTGCCCAAAGTCAGAGTGATATTGGTGTTAGGCTAATGCTCGGTGGTTTAGCCGATTTCAATTCCGACTGCGTCTCTATTTGCCGTGCACTCTGCTCTCCCTCGCCCCTCCACTCCCTCCCTCCGCCTCTCTCACTCTCTCGTTCTTTCTACGATATATATGTACGGTTCTCTATCTGTATTCGGTCGATCGTCATTGCCATTCGGCGAAACGAAGCCACGCAAGCGTAATTGCAAGCGCCCGTATATGTTATATAGCTGCACTCTACAAATGCCCATCGACGATCCTCAAAACTTCGACGCACGGTAGACACAAGTATCTCGTTGAATTTTTTCTGTTTCTGTTCGATTTTTTTTTTTTTTTTAATATTTTTGTGAGCTCGTGTGACACAAGTTTGAATTTTCATTGTATATGTTTTTGCCCAACTCGTATCGATCCGAGTTTAATGGAAGCGAATTGATGCTTCGTTATCGACAAAAAAAAACACACGTATCAAACTATCGAAGCATCGGGAATAAATTGTCAAGGTATAAGGCTCGTTGCAGTTGGCCGCGCATTTCGAGTCGCACGCAAAATAATCCGCGTTGTTAATTAACCTTTGCTACCTACAGGCATACCGTCTCGGGATCGTAAATTGGAGTCGAGGTCGCGGAGAAAAAAGCGAGGAATAATAATGGTATTTACGTACACGTGCGCGAGCGAAAGGGTAAACGAGAGCAGAAGAGGGCGTGGGATAGGTAATATTATAACGTATATATATTCGCGCTCGCGCAACTCGTCGAGAAGCAATCGAAATGACGTCTGTACGTGACGCGAATTCGAGGCAGTACATACGTCACGTAGGTCGGGATTCGCCGGTGCAGCGCTGCTGCACGAGTTGCTACTGCAGCGAGCTCGCGTACACACATAGCAGCTCAGCAAAATCAGCCTCCCTCTTTTTCTCTCTCTATCTCTTACTCGTTCAAACGAACGTCAAAGAAACCGCGAAACTACCTTTTCGCTCGCTCCAGACACACAGCACAGCACAGACACATACAGACAAACGTATTTTCTTTCGCTTCTTCATCTTCCTCTCTTTCTCTCCGCTGTTTTTCTGCAAACGTGTGCAATCCCTGCGCTGGCCCGAGCTGCTGCACAGCAGCACATCCGACTACTTATAATATATACCTATGTATAGGCGCGCGTGCACCGGCACCGTCACGAGCTTTCAATATTCCGTTTAACGGTGTGTACGTGCATGTGAGTGCGAGCCATTACGTGTGTACATAGCACACACACAGACGCACGTACATACGTAGAGAAAACTGCTGACCCGAGCCCGAGTGTTTTCGCAACTTTCGGCTTATTTCCGTGGCTTCTGCCTACTACTTCTGCTACTGTGCGTTAACGTCAGCACAATCGCATTCTTTACGTACCATACGTCGAAATTAATACAGCAATTCTATCCGGTCGTTCCAGAGGGGGCCCGATCGCGACGAATTTTCTGCAGTATTTTCTCTCCGCTTTTTTTAAATTTACTGCCTTACTTTTCGCTCTAATGACAGGACTCGGACGCGTATAAAGCTCGCTTGCAAGCGCGTGCGCGAGTTCATAATATTACAGAGAGTAAACGACAAATCTCGAGCTGCTTTTAAATAATAATACGTCGAGTAAAATATTTGCTATGCTAACGCACGCGAGTGACGGAGTAATATTTTGACTATATCACGTGCTCGTATCTACGCAGGTACTATATTGGTATAAGCACACATCGTATTATTCGCGCAGCATCCGTGGAAATAAAATAAAAATCGGTGCGCGTCTGAGCAGCGACTGCTGCGTGACTGTGTATACGTGTGCGCAATTTGCCGCTGTACTGGTACACTATATATAATATATACCTGCGCACGCAGTACGCATTTCTCTTTCGTTTTATTTTATTTTGCCCCCTCGTTGTCGTCGTCGTCGACGTCGCAGCTACAGCAGCAGCAGCAGCAGTACGCAGTATCAGGCAAAAAATCTTTCCCTCAAGTACCTCTAGGCCGGCGTTTCGTGCACGAAGGAAGAGAGAAAGAGAGAGAGAGAGAGAAAGAAAGGGAGAGCTGAGCGAGCGCGGAAACGGCCTCTCAAGAGGGCTGCTGTGCTGCTGCTGCTGCTGCTACCGCCGCTCGGCAACGTCGCCATCTTTGGCTACAGTCAGCCTCAGCGATCAATGTAGTACATTGTACAGTACGTTTCTACGTGCACGCACACACATCTTATATATAATTTTCCTCTCGCTATGTTTTCACTTGCCTACCTAACAGTTTTTTAATTTAATATAAATTAAATCTAAAAATCTACCCATGCATCAAAATTACGTACGAATGAATATAAAAAAAAAACTCGAAGCTCGGAGTGCGAGCTAGCGAGTCTTCGCATATAAAGAGATCAGAATTAAAGCGTAAAACGTAAAATTCGAGTATAATATTTCTCGACTTGAGCCATGTACTTGAATTTAATGCGTTCACGGCGCTGCATCCCAGCTTCAATTTTCAACGCGTAAAATATTGATTACGTGTGCATTATAATATGCGCATTATTATACTATAAAGTGGCCGCAAAATTACGCTACGTATACACACCTCGCTTACGCGATAAAATTGTACTTGCACCGCACACGCAAACGCGTGACCAAACATGACAGATAAATCAGCGCCTATATACAGTTACAATATATATTATTGTATGCTAGTGTAACAACTAACAATAGCAGCAGCGGCTACGGCGGCTCTGATAAAGTGCACTTGGCTACTGCGAATTTCGACGCCGATCCGCGCATAAGCCGTGCGTCCTCTCTTGGTGCACACAAATGCATCTACGCTCTCTCGTACACACACGAGGCGCAGTTTGAATTGATTATTTTTTTTTTCACGCGATGCAACGATGTTACGTTGCGCGTGCGTAACTCGTGCACTACGCGATAATTTGAAGCAAATTTGTTCGATCAATTTCAAGATTTAATGTGACAAACAACTACTGCCGGGCAGGTAGCCACAGTTTATAGATATTTTTGTCTCGCGTGCTCCGTAAGCAAAGCTTCTCTTCTGCGCGAGCAGCATCGGCTCGTTGCCCAAAAGATACAGAGAGAAAGAGAGAGAGAGGCAGAAAAAGAAAAGAGAGAGACAGCTCACGTCGTGTATTCGATGTTGATACAGCTGAGTGGTCGTCAGGTAGTATACATATAGGTATTCTGCGCTTACGCGCTTTGCACTCGTCGTCCTCTCTCTCTCTCTTTCAGCTTCTGTTTGGCATACCTAAGCCCAGAAAAAGTATTGCTTATATATACACACTGACGCACGCAAATATATACGTACACGCTACAAGTAGACGCGAGCATATATATATATTTTACGTGTGTGCGCGTGTGTGTGTTTGTACCGTCGGCTTACGATGTGTACAATAATATACGCGGTGCAGGAGTCTTTCGCCGCTGCATACCTATACACACATCCCCCGAATGCTCTTTTCCTTTTTTGTACTCTCGGAAAGTTTGCTTTTTATCTCGGGCTCGCTGCATCCGATGTATAAGTTTCTCTTCGTAACCATACTACATCTTTCTCTCTCTCTCTCTGTCTCTTTCGGACCAGCCATATATACATTGGTCGAGCGCTGAGATGTATTTTTTACCAAATTTTTCCTTCGCGCAATCGATCGTTTGTTTTCGGAGCGCAAAAATGTAATCGCGTAACTATCGTCCGGCAGTAGCTGCATGGCGGCAGCTCCTAACGAGTATTACACTTGACATTTCGAGTCGTTTGCCAGTGACGTGGCCACTTTCGTATATTTATATGCACTCGAGTATTACGCGCAGAGAGATCTTCCGGCTCGCTCGCTCGCAACGAGCTGCCGCTGCTGCTCCTACTCTGTGTGTGCATGAAAGTACACATATAGTGGGCACGAGGCGAGCGTAATTGTGTGCCTATCCTACCTGTCGTTTCTATCGGTACAAGCATATATTATATTATAACGAAACATTTAATTTCGAAGAAGACTGCAGGCATCTGTCTTATATGTAGAAAATTATTTGGAATTTGCCACTTGTAGATTTACACATAAAGGTATTCGCCATCTGGTGATGAAGGTTGGATTTAAAAATGATTTAATTCTCGTAACTATTATGTAAAATTATGAGAAAAACCTAAATCAGTGCAGAAACATTAATTTTTATTCAAAATATTTGAATTAAAGTATAGAATTAAATCTATTTTGTTCAGTTTATGGACAGTCCTCTTTTACCCAAGACGCGTCAATGCATGCTCGAATCAAGAATCTCTAAAATTATTGTACGGTAACTTTTTGCTATATTTATTCGTGTACATAACGTCGCAATAGGCACCAGGTAGCGAAGTTCGTACATAATAACGAGCTAACGCGAGCTTTTGCTTTGCGATTGCCGCTTTTGCGCGAGCTACGAGCGGAATTATTCCCGTATTTATACATCTGCGTGTTTATATATGAGTACTTGCAGTCAAGCTGCCGCTACTGCTGCAACGCATGCACATTATATGTATCGCAAGCCGCCTAGCCTCTGTTTACTCATGGCCGCGCGCAGTTTATATACGTAATATGCACGCTGCAGTGTATTTGCATGTGTGCGTGCGCACATGTACGTAGGTTCGTACGCTATATAAGCGCTGAATCGATACTGCAGGAATGTCTCGTCTCTCTTTTTTTAACACACAATATTAAATGCGTGACGCAGCAGCGGCTAGCGCGCAGATATGTATAGCGATGCGCATCGTTGGCGCAAAAAAATTTGCGGTCGAAGACGCGTGGGTCGAGTCGAGAACTAAAATCTCCCCGTTCGTGCATTGATTTTTTTTCATATCAGTCATAAAATTATTGTTCAAAAATATAAATGCTATATAAAGATGATTTTGTTGTTGTGATTTCAGAGCGCGAGTTCGCCCCGACGAGTGGCCGTGCCCGTGCTGGTGAAGGACGGCAAGCCGTGCGGCAGCGGCGGCGGTCAGGAGGCAGGTCGCGGCGGACCCTCGGCGGCCCTGGCCAGTCCGGCGCCCCACATGGGCGGCGGCAACGCCGGCGGCGCGGCTCAACACGGGGGCGGCGGCGGCGGCGGCCACCACGGCGCCGGCTCGGGCATGCCCAGCCACCACAGCATGAGCCACGTGATGTCGGGCTCGCAGAGCCTGCAGCACTGCTCGTACCAGAGGGTCGCCGCGGCCGTCAATCAGCAGGCGGCGATGCAGCAGCAGCAGCAACAGCAGCAGCAGCAGTGCGGCGGCTACCTGCCGATACAGGGCCGGGCCTGGTAGTGCGCGCCGTCCGCGGCCGCTGCCGGAGCCGCCGCAGCAGCAGCAGCCGCGGCCTACGCCAACGCGCCGGCCAGCGCCGCCTGGGCCCTCGCCGCGGCCGATCCCTGGTACTCCATACCGGACGAGAGTCCTTGAGCTCGTTATCGTCGTCCCGTGCTCATGCTTGGCTGCTCGAGGAGGCCCGTGAAGCTCGAGGATCGCGGAAAGCCGCGGGATTGGTCCTCGACGTCGTCGTCGTCGTCGTTGTCCTCGAGCGACGAGAAAAAGGATTTCGATGACGGCGACGACTTTGAGTAGCGTGGATGCATGGTGCACAGAGTGAGAGCTGAGCGACGGATTCGAGCAAGTGATTTTGCGTTATCGATCGGTACCAGTGCGATGCGAGGCCTGCATTTTCGAGCGTAGACTTTTGTGTAACAATTGAGAGACTATATGAGATGCGTCGCTTCCGTCGCGCGTCTGCGGGATAATTTATATATTAAATAGAATTTGGTAGAACCACGTTTGCGCGACACCGACGTGTACGTGATCAACTTTTTCAACTCGACGTTCCGAAAAAGAAAAGAAAAAAAAAAGGTTAAAGAACAGAAAACGTCAATCAATTTTTACGTCCCTGCGGTTACTGCTATTGTACGTGTACATATTTTAAATATTTTAAATACACACATATATTATATATTGTAGATTGTGTCCAGTAATTTTTGTGCCGTCCTATTTCTGGATCGTGCGCGAACGTTCTGTGCTGTAAAGTATACCTTATTACTATTATTATCATCATTATTATTATTACCATGATGCTGAAGTAGGGATTGAGTAATGATTGGAATAAAAGGTTTATTTTTCACACCCATTTGATGTGACGGTAAAAAATAAAATTTTTCGATGCGTCAAAAGCATCTTCACCGGTCATCGACTTTTGTAATTCTTATATTTCAACTATCACTGAATCCTTCTCTTCGGCGTGTGATTAGTTATTGCACACGTGGTGTGTGTTTGTTCAATTCTTTATTCCGCGTATAATATAAATAATATATTATAAATAGAAAAATGAGAGAATGAGAGTGCGTGATCGAATATTGAATTGTTTCGTTTTTGCTACCACTATTACGTAATACTCGAAATATTGTAATTCTGCGCGCGACATAGGCGAAGAGGAAGTCGTGCCAAGTGATATTTTTGCCATCTCTCTGGCTCTGCACATTATACGCGCGTGTTCATCGGAGAGTTACATACCGACGAAAAAATTTGTTAAAAAAATATTCACCCGCTTATGCGAGGCCGACTTTTCTCGTCCATTCGGAGGAAGAAGAAAAAATATTTGTCAGAGCGCGAGCGACTACATACCTTTCGTGCGTGGGCAAATCTCCAGAACGTCGTCGCCTTGAAATACCTTGCCGACATGCTCGCATGCCGGGTAAATCAGAATTATCATACTCACAAGGCTTTCCTTGAAATTCATCCTTCGTGCATTTGAAAAATGTAAAATTTTTGTTTTAGCTGAATATTATTCATTTTCAAATTTTAAATTCAAAAATTTTTAGAGCAACCACATTCTGGAGATTGGCTCATTTAAAAACAATATAAATAGTTAAAATATAAAGAGCGAATCAAGCGTCTCGCGTGTGAGGGTGAGAGTGGAAAACTGAATCGTCGAAAGTACATAATATGCGTTATAATGTGTGTGTGCGAATGAGAGAATAACCGAGAGAGGGATGTACATACTATTAAGCGAAAAAACTCGAGACCGATTGATGAAAAATGGGCAAAAAAGGTAAAAATATATTGTAAATCCCCGTAATAGTTATAAATAAATAAATAAAAAAAAAGTAAAAACAAGAAAGTGAGCGTGTAAACACGAGTATGAGTGTGCTGAACGAATGCCGAGCGTGTCTATGTGATTTTATTGCGTATAGCTGTTAGACGACGATGTTTATATAACGATCCGCAAGAGACGTCCTGTTTTTTGCAGCTCTTTTTATAAGAGGCAGATTTAATACAACTCCGTGGAAGCAAAATAAAAAAGCATATTGTGAAAGGTTATAAATATATATATGAAAAAAAACACAAAAAAGACATGAAAAAGGTAGCAAATAGCCAACGCATGATCGTAGGAGTCGAGATATCGTGCGCGTCGTCGTCACGACGCGCACGATCTCGTCATTATACATAATAAGGAAAACAGAAGAACAGTAAGACGAGGTACGAGACATTTAATAATGCGACAATTATTAGAGATTATTAACAAACTTTTGTAAATAATCGACGATAAGAAATACACAAGAAAAAAAAACAGAGATATTAATAAAACAATAACATTATAATGCGAATAAAAGTGCCTTTGTATTGTAATTATCCTCGAAAACCTGCATAAACATTATTCTTAACACGATGATAATATAGCGAAGCATCATCCCGTGACTAAAACGACGAGAGAATAATTCGGACGCTCGAGAGCGGAAAAAGCGCACTGATTCTTTTGTGTTTTATATAGGGAGCTAAAGCTTTTTGCTTTTTTTTTTTTTTTTTTTAATAGCAAATCCCTTTGACGCGTGAAAATACGTGCTTCTCGTATATCAGCTCGTCCTCGAAATGATAAGCTTGCGCGCGCGATGAGTCAAGAGTCGCTCGCGCCGCGCTACTGCAATGAAATCGTCGAGGGGCCTGCCTGTACATACAGGTGTGCTTGCAGTGCACAGAGAGAAAAAACCATCGCTTTCTTCTTTATCTTTTTTTTTTTTTTTATTCATCCTTTAACCAACGAGTTCTAATCTCTCGAGAATGTTTCATTAAGTACAATCGGCCGATGCGCGCAATACGCATCGTGGGCTCGGGCCCTCGGAACGGGCGCATGCAGCAGCAGTCAGGCAGTCAAGCAGGCGCCGTCTCATGGTAACGCCCCGAGCGAGAGCCACCTTATTAAGGTAAGCTGATATGCCCGGGCGTGTGCAGACGTGTCCCCCCTCCTTCCCTTCCTCTCTCTCTCTAGCTCTCTCTATCTTTCTCTCGATCCTAAATACGAGCGATATTAGCTCTTTGCCTTGCGAGTTCTTGTCGGCGCGCGTACGTTATATACACAGGCGCTTTGGCTCGTTAATAACGTCGAATGTTTGGAAGGATTATTCCGGCGATTTGAGCCGACCGGGCGACCTTTTAATTGCCTTCCTACGCTTCATCTCTCTCTCTCCTTGCCTTATAATATAATATCACACGCTCGTGCGCATGCACGAGGATCCTACGACGTACGCACGTTATACATGCCCAGAAAAAGCTCGAGTGCGGCGCGCGGCTGTATCCACGCACGTGTTGTGTACATTTTCAGTCTGCAATCACGAATATACCTTACGCATAAGTCGGCTGGACTTGGGGGGCAGGAGAGATGCTTCGACGTTTGTCGTGATTCGCAGCGTACCTTCGGGATCTGATGAGATTACGCTTGCCTCGCTCCATAGCTCGGCTAATCATTTTTCCTTTGTCCGAATTTGTACGGCGTTTCATTATCGGCTTTCTAGGCATTGTTTTCGGTCCGAACGTATAGTTCCCGGAGAGAAATAATAATAATTAATTCGAGCGAGCTTGCGAACGATTCGTTACAGTTGTTCTTTGAATCATCGACGCTAAATATATACAATCTATCGATTTTGCGGCGCGCAAAAAGCCCGGGAAAGTTCACATACACACACACTCCCTTAAGTACATACATACACTGTATATGTATACGTTCCAGCCAGAAGCGCGGTGACCACTAGATACGCGCTGGAGGCAACTATATACAGCGAGCGAGAGAGAGAGAGAGATATAGAGAGAAATTTAACACATAAAAGGTGTACGTGCGTGCAGATTTTAGTGTCGTCGTTGTGGCGTACTTTGCAGTATATATAGCAGCGGTGGCAGTCCTGTCAACGACAGGCACCCCCTAGCCGTATATATACATACATACACACAGGACGAACGAAGCCACCGCCGGTCGTCCGGGCAGGCGCGTATGTGTCAAGTACGGGGTGTCGTCGTCGTCGTCGTCGACCGCCTCGATTAAATGCGCCGCTCACCGCCCGATAAAAAGGGGCTACAGCGCACGCACACCTATATCTATGTAGTAATGTACGCTGTATCCCATTGCGAGCGTTACGAATCGCGCCTCTTTTCGCATTGTATATATATATACGTCAGTTAGCAATTCTCTTTCTTATTCTGTTGCTGTCGCTGCTGCCGTTTCTGCTGGTGACCATGAGCTATACAGCAGAAAACGGCCTCTCTGTATGTGTGTCTGTGTGCATACGCGTCTGTAATTGAAAAATTGATTGGCCTCTTATTTTCCACGCGTGCACTGGCTCGTATGCGTCGTATACTGCTTTTATACGACGACAACCCCCTGTACGTGTGTATACTAGCCGAGCGAGCTTGCTTATTCGGAGCTTCGGCTTTTGTTGGTATCAAAGCGAAGATTCGATTTGCTAGCACTCGATGCACCGCGCGCGAAAGAAGCCAAGTCGACATTTTCATATACGTTTAAGAATAAAGTCCAAGGGCTGCGTTAGCTCTATTAAGGTGATTTCGGATGCAACGTGGCTTTTATTTCCATTGGACACTTGAAATTTATGAATAAAAGCTCTTTGAAGTAAGCAAGAATCTTCGACTCGGCTTTACATCCGACTTGTCCTCAAGACTTGATCATCCAGAATTGATGCGGTTTTAATTTGATATACAACCAAATAATTCTACTCATTTGTTTCATTACTTTTTGTCATTTTAATAAAAACTGTTTTCTAATACATGTAATTTCATGTTTGAACGAAATCCAAATTGAACGTATTTTGAGTTGCTGCAAACACACATTTCAGTTGATGCAGATAGTTTATAATTCAGCAAAAATTAAAATATTTTAGTGCTGTGACAACTAGGGTTTTGATAGAGTGCAGTGCGATATTTTTGATTCGTGTATGTATCAGTAGTAAATTTGAATTTTAGAGCATGCAAAATATGTGCGTATAAGACTCGAAATC